TTTCTAAGAGGATTCATTTTGCAAATACTGTAGCACAATTACTCATTATATTAGCATTCTTGTGTATCACAGGAAAAAATATTATTTAAAACTCAGAGTGACTACAGCTGCTTCTTTTGTCCAAGGTGAAGTGGCAGAATCCTTATCAGTGGGAAAATTACACTATGTTGCTTCCTTCCTTTTGCAGAGGCTGGCAGAAGAAGAGGAAAGGCAAGACTGAAATTTTTAAGTATTTGCCAATTTTTCTATGCCCCCCAAAAAGCCTACCTACCTTAAATGTGCTCAAACACTTACATTACAGTTGGGCAAAATCATCTAACACAAAACCTATTTTATAGTAAAGTGTTGAACATCTCATGTAATTAATTGAATACTGTATTAAAAGTGAAAAACTGAATGGTTGTCTTGGTACAGGATGGTTGGGAGCGTATAGGTTGTTCACCCTCGTGGCCATGTGGCTAACTGGGAGCTGCCGCGACCCAGCATCACGAGAGAGAGGACTGTACCCATGTGGCTAATGCAGGAAAAGTTCAAAATCCAAAATTCGAAGTGTGGTTTCTACCAAATGCTTATGGCTTTCGCAGCATCATAAGGTCAGGGACCGTCTGTACAGGTGATTCTTGTGAACAGCTACACTTGGGGACCGTTGATCTGGAAGTCTCATCCTCTAATCCTAACAGGGAAAAGTGTGGAAATACGCGGTCCACAAGGGTGGACGTGAAAGGGAGGATTATAAAGCTTAAAATGTCAGACCTCTGTTCTTTATGCATTCTCACTACAGTGGCCACAACTAGAGGGCCATCTAGAATAAGTCTAAACAGAAACATTAGGAATGTTACCATACAAGTGACTATCACATACAGCCCCTGTGTATACCTACCCCTAAGCCTCATGTCAGTAAGAGTGAAGCAGGAAACTGAGGCAATGGTCTCACTATTTACATTATAAACCAAACCAAAACAAATGATCTTTACCTGCACGCGCACACGCCCCTAAAAGTTTCCAATGTGATTTTATGTTTTTTCCCCTCACAGTACTCAACTAATCATCATAATATACTTTTTATTTTCATCCCTAAAATACTCTGAGTACTTAATGCTTGACACTACAAAGATGAATAAAAATGCCTGTCTTCAAGATAGCAAAACATAGCCATAAACATAAGAACAGCAGTTTTAAGTTTTAAAAATTTAAGTCTGGCTGAATTTTAGAGATTCTATGAGCAATCAATCATAAAGCCAGAAATGCCCATATTATAAATATGTTCTGGCATAACTGTCATATCAAAGCCGGCAACCATGGTGTAAAGCTCTAGAAGGAACAGTAATTTGAGAGGCTCAGGATAAGAGATTGTGTTTGCTTCTGCTACCTGACAA